GATTCGACTGCTTTCTTGTTCACTGAGTTCGACTGTACGAAATAGACGACGTTCGTCTATAGTATGGCCACACATTTCTACAGTCTCGCTCTCACGCGGGGTCCAGCGATATCTCTCTCTTTTACGAGGCACAAATCCCATTTTGACTATCTATAATCCAGCACATGATTCGTGTCATACCTGATACACGCCTTTATAGTCCTATTGTTACGCAGGACGTTTGACTTATTCAAAGTACGCAACTCCTCATGTTGGATTCTATAGATATCTCAAGTCATAGGATCCAATCATGGAACCGTCACATGAGATTCCAGTCATGACGGTAGTCCATGTGACAATCTCATGCATATCATTGCAGTATTCCGTTCTCCAATGAATACTTATGATTGTGATCGTATCCAATACCCATGATCATCTTTATGATCATCTATCACACATCATACTAGTCTTAGTACATCATTGTTCCCACAATGACATATGACTAGGGTGTTTAGTATTGTTCATAACAATACATAGATTTCATAACATATTAAAGTATGCATAACATGTAATGAATCAAACACTCATCCATATAACCATAGTAAGTGTCAATACATCAAATGTATCTAAATAAAGCTCATATAGCATTACATGATAGAGAACTAAACCAACAGTCTCCACGTATCGTAATCGTGCGCAGGAAGTTTACACCGTGCGACAGATGTTCCGATGCACAATCCGTCGACAATGTTGATGTGGAAAAGATGATTTAATGTTCCCGACCTTGGGCGACGACATTATCTTTCGTAATGTGCAGAAACATCATATAATGCAGAGGTTTTTGGGAAACGCGTTGTCCCGACGGAGAATAGGTCACTAATGTTGACGTGGCATCGATGATTTAATGTTTCCGACCCTCGGCGACGGAACTATCCATCGGAAAGTTATCAGATCATGCAGAGATCTTCGGGAAATGCGTTGTTCTGACAGACAATCCGTCGCTAATGTTGACGTGGCACCAACGTTTTAATGATTCTGACCCAATCTACGATGGACATTTCCCTCGCAGATTTAAATAAAGATGAAGAATTCGTCCTTTCCCCTCAAAAATGCGAAATTCCTTCTAAGTTCGTTTTGCCTCTCTCGCGGAATCTGCCGTGTTCATCGCCTCCCTTCCGTTGTGTTTGTCGCCTCTTCTCCGCCTCCCTGTCCACGCCTTATCTCCGCTGTGCTCGCCCGCCTGCTCTCCACTGGGAGTTGTCTTAGTTCATAACCCCGTTTCTCACACTTTGTTTCTTCTATTTCGATATTTTTGCGTAGTTTCTTGGATTTCGATCTATTTACCTGCGTATATATGTTTCTGTATGTATATATCAGTTTATACATGGTCAGTTTTGCTTGTATATAAATATAAATGGTTTCGTTTCAGGGTTATGGTGGGGTTTCGGTTAGGTTTAGAGGTTTCGGTTAGGTTTTCATTTAATTTGGGGTCTGGGATTTAGGGTTAGTGTTTTAGGGTTTAGTTGGGGTCTGCGAGTTTAGGGTTAGGGTTTCAGGGTTTTCGTTTGGGTCTTGCATAGGGTTTCGATGATGTTTAGGGTTTATGTCTTAAGAGTAGGAGTAGGGTTAGGGTTAGGGTTAGGGTTAGGGTTTAGGTTTGGATTAGGGTTAGGGTTAGGGTTAGGGTTAGGCAGGGTTACGGTTAGGATTTTGGGCTAGGGTTTTATGGTTTAAGGTTTAGGGATTCGGGTTTCTGTTTAGGGTTTAGGGGTCAGGTTTCATTACCTATGTAATAATCTATTCTAATGAACTTGTAGATGAGTCACGAAAGATGTGGTTCAGGTTCTCATTCTGGTAGTCATAGCGGGAACAGTACTCGATCATGGGGTCTTGGTGTTGGATCACCAATGATCCAAAGTCAAGGAACCCCTGATCCTCCTCAATTGGATCAAGTTTCACTGGCCAGGGTACTCTCCAAGCTGCGTTTGAGGCTGGCGGTTCCAGCCATCGCTCTATTTATGTCGGGATCACGTTTAGAGAGATCCTGTCATCAGAGAGTCGTCGACAACAACCTTGTCTGAATCTTGACCCGACTGATGGAGTGTTGTGGTAAGTATAATCCGCGAACCACTTTCGTGTATGATAATAACAAATATTGTTAAACTTAATTAATATTTCTTAATATCATAGGTTTGATCGGAATGATCAATTGGTTGAAAGTGTCACAACGATCATAGTTCTGATTTTCATGGCCCGTGGCATAGGATCTCTCAACTTTCTCAAGAAGTCTTGGAGCAATGGTTTGCTGCTTTTGCGGTATTGTGTATTAACGTTGTTTTTTGTTTACTATTTTGTTAGTGTTAAATAACTAATACATTTTATTTAAAGCAATCTTACTACTGGAACCCTTCTGTGCATGATGTCGTCCATCGTGCAAGGAAGGATTGTCTCGGTGCGAGATTGCGAGATAACACTTATAGGTTGAAATGCTTGCGGAAGAAGCCTGAGTGGATTAGTTCAGATGTCTGGGTGCAGTTGGAGGAAATGTGGGATTTAGACGAATCTCAACAGAAGAGTCGGATTGCCTCGACGAATCGAAAGGCGAGGTCTGCCTGCGACCATGCCCTCAGGACTCACACCGCGGGGAGAAGATCGTTTGTCAAAGTTGCTCTCGATATTGTAAGTATTTTGTGAGAATTATTTTATTTGTTTTTTAATTTTACTAATTTTTAGTATAACATTTGTAGACCGATAAAGAAGGCGTTCAACCGTCTGCTCTACGTGTCTTGTAAGACACGCATCGTCAATCGATGGGAGTATCTGGATCAATGTGCCCAAGAAATTGAAGGCACCATTTAGTTGAAGATTACCGATCGAATGAGGCTAGACGAGAGCAGTGGTTCAAGTTCAACGCAATTGACTTCACAGAAAATCAACAATTTGTATCTCGAGATAATTTTTTATTGTAAGTAATTTAATAAGTTGAAATATAAAAATTATTTATATATAGTTTTAAAGGTCATTCCCCCAGGTGCGAACGGTCGGATTTACGGGATTGGTGCGTTGACGAGTCAGTTCGGTGGTGGTTATGCGTCTTCGTCGTCAGTGATACATCACGTATCTCTGACACGGGAAGTCGAGGAGCTGAAGAGGAAACACGAGGAGACTTCTGTGGAACTTGTAGCTACTCGGGAGAAGATCGCCCAGTTTGATGCAGCTCAGACGAAGATCGCTCGGTTAGAGGAGATGATGCAGCGATTTATGCCTCCGCTCGATTCCGCCGGTTCATCTGCTCCGAGTCCCGCCGTCAATCCTAATCCATACGTTCAACGAGACATGCAAGATCCACAAAATCTCCGGACAATTTGTTTCGTTAACTTTTAGTTTTGTAATATATAAAACAATTTCGATTTTGTTTTTTTTTTATAATTTTAATTTATATTTTTTTTCAATTTCAGAAAAATATATTTTGCAGCGGAATTATCCGTCCTTGATGCGTTGCATACGTAAACCCTATTCTGTCGGTATGTTCTACGGACATACTCCGTCGTTTACTGCTTATACCGACGAAAAAACCCCTCCCTGATGCGTCATCACAATTTCCGTCGCATTGACCTACGGATGTTTCTATCATTTTCTCTGTCGTTGGACCGATGGAAATCTTCGTCGCTGGACGTCGTTTTGCGACGAATCTTCGACCATTTTTCCCGTCCCTTATTACGACGAAATTCTGATGGAAATTTCGTCGCAATTACGACGGATATTGCATCGGCAATAGCGACGCCTATACGACGGAATGTTCGTCGCATTTACGATGGAAAAACGATGTTCGTCGATTAATTTCGACTACATTGTGAGGTGTAACCGTCCCACTTACCGACGGAATAATCAGTCGGCATGAACAACAGATTTCCGACGCTTGTATTCCATCGCAAATGTGCGACGAATTCCCGACCGGAATATGTTTGCGACAGTCGTTTACGGACGGAAAGTGTTCCGTAGCTTTCTGTCGGAAACAGAAGCCACCGACGAAAATCCGCGTTTATTGCAACTGAAACTTCCGTCGGTAATGCGAGTGTTTTTTGTAGTGATCATACCTTTTTATATTTTTTTTGTATGACCAGCGTGACTATCATGACCTATCTCGAGATCGCACTAGTCACACCGTTAAAATTATATTGTGATCAAACTGATCACACCGTTCAAACATATATGGTGATCACATTGATAATACTAGTTATGTAGAAAATATATAAAAGGGTATGGTTTGACGTCGTCCATATATAACAAAGTAAGGGTAGGTTTAGGTTTAATATAATATCGTTTTGTACCGACGAATGAAATGTAAAAAAAAAAAAGTTTCCAGAACGTTTTGGAGCTTACCGAAGTAAATGAATAAAAATATTATTTTCTATAAAAGACTGTCTGAAAGATTTTGAATGATGTGTTAAAAAGCAATAAAATTCTTTAAAAAAATGTAATTTTTGACCATTTATAATCTTAAAAAGTGTTAATATACATATAGCCATGATTATCATGATGTAATTATCCAGGATGTTAAAGTAAATGATAAAAAATAATAATTTTTGTTTCTATAAAAAAACTGCCTTAAAAATTTTGAAGGATTTGTGCTAAAAAGGAAAAAAAGAATTCCTTTTGTTTCTAAACAAAACACATAAAAGGAAAATGTATCAAAAGATAATAAATTTTAACAAATATACCTCCTCACATTAACTAAAAAAAACCCCACGTTTTTTAAGAATACTGGGTTGAAATAGATTCTTTGATAGATGGACGTTGATTATCCATTGATAGACAAATATGGATTCCATTGATATAAATTTTAATTAATTAGGCTATCTACTCACATTAACTAAAAAGTGCTAACAATAATGGTATCCATTGGCAGATAGAAATTGAACTAAACACAGACCGACGCTGATTATCAAATCGATGTTTAATCAAAGGCCAACTCCCCCTATTTAAGCCATTCCTTCCCTTGGCTGACTCATCCCACCAAAAAACCAAAGAAAAAAAGAAGAGAAATGGGTTCCTCGAGCAACTCATCTGGTTTCAACTTCTCCCATCTTCAGAACAAACAAAACGTCCCGGCGGAATTTATATGGCCGGAAAATGATGTCATCCCTTCCCAAGGTGACCTCATCGTCCCGATCATCGACCTCCAAGGTTTCTTCAGTGGCGACTCGGCCACGAGGGAGCGGATGGCGGCCGAGGTGAGGGTGGCGTGCGAGGAGGTCGGTGTGTTCCAGGTCGTAAACCACGGCCTCGAGTCGGGTTTGCCGGAAGCGGCGCTCGAGATTACGAATCGGTTCTTCGGTCTTCCCATGGACGTGAAAACAAAGGCGGCGAGGGTTCCGGGGGATTTTCAAGGCTATACGGCGGCTCACGCCGAGAGATTCTCCAACCTTCTGTGGAGTGAAACGTTGTCGTTTCGTTTCACCGACGTCGGTCCAACTCCGGTCGTTGAAGATTTTATGAGATCAAAGCTTGGCCAAGATTTCGAGGAGATCGGGTACGTAACATACATGCATGCATATATTATACGTAAACACTTATGTTTTAGAGTCAAAGGTTTTGGTTCAATGTTCGGGATCCAGAACCAGATACTCTCGTAGACAATAAAAGCAAAACCTACCTATATTAACACAAAAGTGATGGTTTTATGCTCAAACTTTCTTTTTTATCGATAATTTTTTTTTATAATTCAGAAGTTCACCGATTTTGACCAATTACATCTTCCAAAAAGATAGAGGAAATCCGGATGAATACCATTCACATGCTTGGATTTAAACTCAGGATAAGTTTTATCCATAAATTTTCCAATAAAGTTTTAAACTTTTTCTACTCAGCACATCAAATGACGTATTTAAACCGGCCGGTTCAAGTTTAATCTAATTAGGGTTGACTAACCCCAATCGGTTAACGCAGGAAATTGTACCAAAGGTATTGCGAATCGATGAAACGGCTGGCTCAGGAGCTAATGGAGCTGATGGGGGCAAGCTTAGGGATAGAGGACGAGAAATATTACAGGAGGTTCGTGGCAGATAGTACGGGCATATTCAGAGTCAACTACTACCCGCCGTGCAAGCAGCCTGACCGTACGCTCGGCACTGGTCCCCACACCGACCCAGCCGCTCTCATCCTCCTCCTCCAAGACGGTGTCAGCGGTTTGGAGTACTTTACTCGTGGCCAGTGGCGAACCCTTCGCCCTTATCCCGGTGCCTACGTCATCAACGTGGGCGATGTCTTCATGGTACGTACCTATATATATATATACATATTATCCTTTTTACATGTGATGTGATGCTTTTGATTATGGTTGGGTTATTCGGTTTGGTTATACTGAGGTTCGATTATTTGTTTTAAAAATTATAATAATTTAATTTTTATATTGAATTTGCCCGTTTCGGTTGGATTTCGATTTTCATTGATAAAATTTACTAAATTTCTCAAAAAAAATTCGGATTTTTCGATTATTTTTTAATTTGGTTCGGACTCGGTTTTTCGGTTTTAGAGAAATAATAATTGAAGAAATTATAACTTTCTCCTTTTTGCATGTGGTGTGACGCTTTTGATTAGGGTTGGGTTACTCGGGTTTCGATTCGGTTATACTAAGATTCGATTATTTTGTTTGAAAAAATATAACAACTCCATTTTTATATTGAATTCGGTTCGATTTGGATTTTTATCAAATAAATTTTGGGTTTTTTAGTTATTTTTGTTTTTTTTTGGGACTCGGTTTTTCGGTTTTAGAGAAATAATAACCATTAGAATTTTATATTGGATTCGATTCAGTTATGATGATGTGTAATTCAATCCTGATCGGTTCGTTTATCGGGTTACTAAGCAAATTGGCTATCAATCATATATTTATATCACTCTGTATGCATATAGTACTCGGCTTTTGATTTTTCAAATATCTAGCACTGGTTTGTATGACTATCACATGTACGGGCTTTGATTTCGATTTCTCTTTTTCCTTTCTAATCTGTGGAGGCCCTATCGAATGGGAAGTACAAGAGCTGTTTGCACAGGGCAGTGTTGAACAAAGACAAAGTGCGAAAGTCATTGGTATTCTCATGTTGTCCGAAAGACGACAAGCTTATCGTACCACCTCCCGATCTCAAGTTTGATGAGGAAACTTCTAGAAAGTACCCCGACTTCACTTGGTCCGACTACCAAAAATTCCTCGTGAGCAGAAATCGGTCCGAGGGCACTTCCCTCGACAGCTTCGCCGCTCAGGTCTCTGCTTCTCGCGACGGCAAATGAATCGACGACTTGACGTCGGTTCATATAAATATTTCTGTCGAGATATATATAATCTCTGGAAAATTAAAGTTATGTTGTTTGTTTAAATGGTTTTGGCTTCTCGGGTTCTATATGACCAAATGTAGAAACCTGAGAAGAATTATGTGTTGGATGTTTTATGTTTTATAATAAAGTTGTTGTGTTATATTATCTCTAAACCTCCAAATTTAAGGGTGCGGCCATGCATGCAAGCAAGTGATACGGACCAATGTTAAATTCGGACGGTAACATGATACTAATGATTTTTTTTTTGTTAACGGTAAATTATATTATATACACTGCCCAAGTACAGAGTAGATGATAGTTTCAGTTACATGAAATTTAAAACCGATCGAAGGAGAAATAGCGTTTACAAACAGTCAAAGTATTGGAACCAAGTACTCATTACTGTATCATCTGGAGCAGTTACCACCAAATCAGCCTGTATTGATGAGAGTTTGCGCCGAGTGAAACCGATGATGTCTTTCCGGATTACCTCAGCTGAGCGTGCAACAGAGTGGTGGATCCTCGAATTCCTCTCCATCCAAATCATATAGATAGTAGCCTGAAATAAGAGCATAACCATGACTTTAAGGAGGCAGTTGGCAGTGCAAGGTATGACCCTGTAGGTCCGTCCAAGCAGATATAATTCTGAAACCATTTCGGACTAATAATCATAGGTAGTCTCTAGTAAGACACTATGACTCCCTTGTCAGACTAGGTTAGTGTGATCTAACGAGCCAAGTAACATTCCACACTTGTGTCCATTTTGTCACACGATATCATAAGTCAAAACAGAGACATGGAACAAGTCATCTCATCACATTTTGACTGCTTTCTCGTTCGTTGAGTTAACTGAACCTACAGATGACTCTTCATTTGTTTGCGCGCGTTTTAGTTCAACTCACTCGAGGGGCCCAGCGATATCTCTCTCTTCACATAAGAGAGAGACAAAATCCCATCTTGGCTCTCTACTACCCTCCACATGATTCATGACATTCCTAACTACAACCATTATAGTCCTCCTTTTACAGTTCCGACGTTTGACTGTGTCAAAGAGTATCACTCCTCATGTCAGATACATATGAGACCTCAGGTGCTAGGACTCAAAACGAAATATTACATGAGATTCAAGTCATGACATCATGTGCATGTGACAGTCTCATGTGGGTCACCCAGTATTCATTCACAAATGAACACCCATGATCATGATCCGTATCAAATACGCTATAATCATCTCTATGATCATCCAACATGCATCATGCTAGTCTTTATTCGTTAATGTTCCCACATTGACGATCGACTAGGGAGTTTAGTATTATTATAATAATAATACATGGATAACATTATAAAACAATAACGTGCAATTTGAATAATAATCAATAAAAAAAACATACTTTCATTCATCACAATGAATTCAAGTACAATAAATGTGTTTGTGCGAATAATCATGTCCAGAGGATAAAACATCACAATCTCCAAATGCTCTAATCATGATCAACTAATTGTCTAATCCCCATCGACTTAACATGACACTCATGCTTCGACGAAGGGAGAGGCTTCGTCAACGGATCAGCGATGTTGTCATCTGTCGAAACTCTCCTCTATCTACGATTTCTCTGATAAGATCAAATCGCCTGAGTATGTGTTTGGATCTCTGATGTGATTTTGGTTTCTTAGCTTGCGCAATCGCACCATTGTTGTCACAATACAACGCAATGGGGTTCGCGATGTTAGAGAACGCCAAGGTCTCCAACACACTTCTTGATCCAAACAACCTCCTTTACCGCATCCGATGCGGGAATATACTCAACCTCTATAGTGGAATCTGCAACGGTGACATGTTTGGAACTCTTCCAACTAACAGCACCTCCATTCAGAAGGAACACAAAACCTGATTGCGATCGAAAATCATCCACGTCGGACTGAAAACTGGCATCGGTGTAACCACTTACAACGAGTTCATTTTCACGTCCACCGTAAACTAAGAACGTATCCTTAGTCCTTCTCGGGTATTTCAGATGTTCTTCATGGCTATCCAGTGTGGCTCACCTAGATCAGACTGGTATCTACTCGTTAGACTCAATTCTAACGATTCATCTTGCTGAGTACATTGCACGACATACATGATAGATTCTTGCTCAGAACTAAACCATGCCTCATCGACAATGATACTTTCTTGGATTCTTCATGCTAAACCGTTTTAGCACCTTGTCGACATAAGTACTCTGACTTAGGCCAATCAGCTTTCTCGATTTATTTCTATAGATCTTAACGCCTAGAATATAGGCAACCTCGCCTAAGTCTTTCATCGCGAAACATTTTCCTAGCCAAGACTTAACATATTGCAAAGTAGGAATATTGTTTTTGATGAGCAAGATATCATATCAATGTATAAGACCAAGAACACAACTGCGCTCCCATTGGCCTTCTGATAAATGCATGCACTACAAAAAAAACGGTCATTTCCAACGGGCAAATCCATTGGAAATGACCAAATTTCCGTTTGAAATTAACGTTTCCAACGGATTTCCAACGGATAAATCCGTTGAAATTTTGTCGTTGGAAATCGGTGTCCGTTGGAAAACCGTTGGAATTTTCAACGGAATTTCAACGAATTTTTCCTTTGGAATTTTCCAACGGATTTCCAACCGCAATCCGTTGGAATTTTCCAACGGAATTTCCAACCGATATCCGTTGAAAAATTCCAACAGAATTTCCAACTGATATCCGTTGGAATTTTCCAACGAAATTTTCAACCGCAATCCGTTGGAATTTTCCAACGAAAAATTCAAAAACATATTCTCGATACCGACCCCGACCCCGGCCATGAACCCGACCCCGACCCCAACCCCGATCCCGATCCCGATCCCGATCCCGAAACTCACTTCCCAGTAGGTCACCCATCCTTCCACTGCTCCAGCTCAATCCTCCTCAACCCTAGAGTTCCAATTGACCATCATCCAACTACTCCAACTTAAACTTCTGATTTCATATAACATTAATATATATACATATATAAATGTTTATACATATAAATATTTATATACACACATGCACACATATACACATACATATATACATATATATATATATATTTGTTATGTGTATGTATATGGTTAATATAGACATATCGATATATATATATATATATATATATATATATATATATTTACGTATATACAAATTGATATATATATATACATATATATACACATTATATTTGTACATATAAAAATATATATACACAAAATATACCTGTATTTGTATATATATATACATATGTATACGTATAAATATATAAAATACATATATATATATATAAATATATATATATATATAAAGATATAAATATATAAATATATATATAAATATTTATATATACATACATATATATATACATATATACATATATATACAAATATTTATACGTATATATGGATATATATTTACGTAGGTTGTAAACTATGAACGATGA